AAATGAGGCGCGCGGCACGCGACACAGTCGACGGGCTTCTTCCCGGAAGGGCGAGGACAACTTCCCGGAGGTCGATTCTAGCAGCCACCCGGAGAGTCACGCGACGGGACCGGAGCAGCCGACCCGAGATCCGACGTGTGGCAAAACAAAAGGCAGCACCGCGAAGAAAGCGCACGCCCCGGGCGGCGCGAAAGAGCGCAGCAAGAGCGGAAATTTCCCCCGCCTCCGGGAATTCGGCGGGGCAGACGCCTCCCCAGACCCCCGACGAAATGATTTTTTCATTACGTCGACCCCCAGAGGTCCCGACCCTTTCCCCTGGACCAGCTTTGCATCCCGAGTCGTTTTTGGACGCTCCCGAGGCCTGGCGAGGGCCCCCGGAGGCCGAAAATTCGGAAAAACCTCCCGTCGTGATTTTTTCATTGCTCGAGGGGGTCTGGGTCCGCAGGAGTGCGGCGGGAGCAGCGGCGGCAGGAGTGCGGCGCGCGCGAGCCGAGACCGCGAGGGGAGCTCGAGGAGCCGCGCCGCGCTTCTCTACGAGAGATCGCCCCAGAGGAGCACCGTGGGCCGAGGGCCCCGCGATCCGGCGCGGCGAAAAACATTTGGAGGGGCCCTGGGACACACACACACACACACATACACAAACACATTCAAACAACAGGATTCCCCATATTTCCCATCCTTTCTGCGCTTTTGTCTTCCCCCCCCCCCCACTTCCCAGATTTTCCCCTATCTTCCTGGGGGTCGACGATGAATTGGGCCCTGGGGCACACAAATGAATCCACACAAACGACAGGATTCCCATAGTTTCCCATCGATTTTCTCGGCTCTTGTCTTCCCCCCCACCTCCCACATTTCCCCCTATCTTCCCGGGAGTCGACGATGAATTGTGTCTCTGTGTGTGTTTTCCCCTCCTGAACATTGTTAGGGAACCGAACTCTATACACCGATGCCTCCTTCCGGTCTCGCACTGAGATTCGCACAAGAAAGCGGATTCTGGTGTGTACGGCATCCTGGTGTATACATTTTTGGTTGTCTCCACGGGGAAGCGGGGAAACAAGTATACACCACACCACCCCGACGTCGTCCCCGACCCTCGAGAAATTCTGGGAGTCAAAGACAGCCCGCCACTGGTAATGTATACGTTCCAGCTTCCGCCGGAGCCCCGGAGCCCATCGAGCTCGGACGGGAACGCAGAGATCTCCGCGTTCCCGTCCGAGCCCGATGGGTCTGCGAGGCTCCACGGGGCCCGGCTTCCCATATTTCCCCATACTTTCTGGGCTTCTTGTCTCCCCCCCCCACCTCCCACATCTTCCCCTGCATGTTCCTGGGGGTCGACGACGACTTGCGCCTGCGTGTGTTTTTTCTCCCTCC